AAACATAGCATAAATATTACTGTTTGTAATATGAACACATCTCTTATTCACATATGATATATGAACTTGCCAACATTGTGCTCTAGAAAACAAACTTTCAAATGATTCATGATTCAATATGGAAAGTTTTAAAAAGACTTAAACTTTTACATGGAACAAGGATGAAATTGACTTGATCTGCAGTTAAAGGACTAATTATGTTTATATGTATTATCCAAGATTGTTGTGCACATTTAATGAAAGTATGGTAATAATGGTTGCTCAATAACTTGAAATATGAAAATTGACAGATTGAAGCACATTTGGACACCTTAAGAATATTATGTTGTGTAAACTTACTGTGTGGGTAAGTAGATTAAATATATAACAGTAAAAAATGTAAAAAATAAAATAAAATAAAAAAGCTGGATAAAAAACTGGACTCTTACAGAAAACTAAAGATATACAAACTGAGTTTACACATCTATTGAGACATCCACAATTAGTTTCAGCACCCAGCTTTGTTTCTTGCCTCAACACTTGGGGGAGCTATTATACAACACTCCCACTCATGCCCGACCATAAGCTGGTGTAGAAAATAGATGGATGGATGGTGTATGGTTCCTTAGGGGTGTTCATGACTGTATAACCAACATACCACATAGCATACGCAATATGTTCAATTTTACACAATGTTCATTTGAGAAAAATCAAAAATACCTGTTGAAACATGTTTAAAATGTTTATTTTTTTGCATTGAAAGTCATATGAAAAGTTTGTCAAAGAAAACAACACTATCATTGATGTCACAGGATCAGTATTCACAGTATACAAAAACAAATTCTGGCTTGATAACATTGCATGTTTAACTCTGATAAATTAAACACATGGTCCAGTCTAAGGTCTTTAATATTTAAGGCATTACATATGTTGGCAAATGTGACCAGTGATTGTTTCATGAATTAAATCCAACATAGAACTTCAAGAAAATAAAGATCTTTTGCATAGTTGCATCATTATCAATCCAAATAATGTACATTTTTACCCAACAGACAGATATTGTAGTGCACAAACTGTCAAAATGTAAAAGAAAAAAAGCGAGAGCCTTTAAAACCACAGATATAAATAAAAATGTAAATGCTGTGTACTAAGCTGTACAGTGAAATCTGAAACCTGAGAATCTGCATCAGTTTTTTAGTAAAAACATTCCTTGGCACGTTTTTCAAGTTATTTTGCAATTGTAAATGTATCATTATTGATAAATAATTGTATTGTAATTGATTTAAACTCAGCAGATGGACTACCATAAGCCCACGCTGTAACAACATGTCGTCTTCGTAACTAATTTAATTTAATTAATACATTTCCCTTTCAAAAAAATAAATAAACAACAAATACATTTTATCACACAAAATCTAATGACATAAACTGCAAGGAAACTGATAAATGAAAACAATTGCAATTAAATATTGTAGCCTCATTATACATTACACTTCAGGTATGTACATTGTATTGTAACACTGAGAGCATCTATGGCTGGGGTTGTCAGTGTCATTCAAGGCATACAAACATCCCTCCCCCAGAATAACAAAACCAGTGCAATCGTCCGCATACTCTAGCTTCCACGTGTCACATTTACCATGCTGTAGTAGTCCACATCTTTGCACCAACAGCACGCACACACAAATCTATCCTCTGCTGTTTGCTGAACAAGACGTGAGAGGTCAAGCTGATGTCACTGTGCGGCTGATGGTTGTGTGCCTGACAGACTCTCCTCTGCCAGCTGGGAAAGGTATTTCTGTGAATGAAGAAAAAAAAAATACAATCCAACATATATCAGGACAGAACGCAGCATCTTGATATCAACATCAGCACGTTAGTCAAACAACCATCTGACCAGTCTTTTCCACCAACAGCATGTTGGAGGTAACTGTACGATCGATTTAGGGCTACTTAGAAATTAATTATGAAGTCACATTATAATCTGTAAAATTTAGGTCTGTATCTATAATATGTGCTATTAGCTGCATTAGCCCCAAAATGCCATGTTGATAAAATCCTATCCATTTAAATTGACTCAAATATCTGACTCTAAATACCTCGTTCAATTTTTTTTGTACAGCAGTACAGCAAAGCAGTACCTGATACATTGAGTTTTAAAACAACATTAACCTAATAAATATCTGTAAATAAATGCATACTGTACTACATTTAGAAACAAATCCACAACAACAAAACATACTGAGTGCTGAAGTTAAACTATGTAGATGACTAAGGAGAGTAAACTAATATAAAACTATTAAACACCAGAACACACACACACGCATGCAAAGATTTGACGGGCAGCACAACTGTTAGAAACTGTTTTTCCTCTTGGAATGTAATCCATCAAATGTGAGGGAATTGCTGCTCCTCTAACTGCCTCAGCTGCGCTGCCGGGGTCGAGAGAAATGCAAGATGGCTTGGTGCTGAATGGGCAATAATCAGAAACCTAATGCAGCTGCAAGTTTACATGCAATGTGTATGTTGGCTTGTCTGTGTGCGTGTGTGTCTGTGTGTGTGTGCAAGGATGTGTCAGTAGATATTGCTGTGTCGAGTTTGTATTTGCCCATCTGACTGCATTAGTTCATTTCATTTTATACTTTGATTCCCTTCTATACTTCTGTTGATTCTTTAATCAAATAATGTTTATAGTCCATAAAATGTCAGAAAATACAATGGCCATCAAATGTTCCCAGAGCCCAAGGTAATGTCTTTAAATCGGTTGTTTTGTTCAAACAGTGCAAATGCATTTAATATAAAGTCATGTAAATCTTAATAATTAATAAATCTTAATAAAAGTGCTTAAACAGTTACTAAATCATCAAAATTGACATTATTTTCTGCAGATTCTGCGCTGTTGCGCATATTGCCAAATTATAATCTAGCAAGAAAAGAGTTTAGATACTAAATATAAACTCAACAATCAATTTAAACAAAAAGCATTTTGGAATATAATGCTAAGTGTATAAAAAGGTGTACAGTTTATACAGTACTGTATATTACTGATGGTCACACTTCTTGGATCCTCATGTCCACTAACAGAAAGGTTCACTGTCCTTTGCAGTCCTCTTTAGAAAACAACATTTTTGATTAAACATTTAAAGAAAGATTCATTCCCCAAATAAGACCTACGTACATAAGAAGAAAGGCGAATGTGCTGAACGTTTGCGTGTGAAGAGATTACTCACCACCAAGAAACAGGTGGTGTCATCTTGTGAATTCTGCTCCCAGACCACACTGACTGTGGACTGATAGGCAGGCATACAGAATTGAACTGTTGATACTACATTTGCTGGTATAAAAGGAGTGACGGCCAATATGTGCATACAACACATACAAATAGATTTACTGTTAGACACACATGCAGACCTCAGCGATAGCACATCTCGTGTAATTCACAGAGGAAAGATTGAATAAAATGTGGAAATGTATAAATCCAGATTATTATATTATTCCTCCTGTGATCAATGTCACCATCACCTGAAGGATGGGTGTGTCACCAGTGTGCAGTGAGTACCTGTAGGTTCCTGTAGTGTACCGTGCTGCGGCAGTGAGTGGTCTTTGCAGTCTCCTCGCTGGTGTAGAACAGCCCGCAGAGTTTACAGTAGAAGCCAGTCTTTGGCACAATGAACTCTACTCCTATTAGACAGCGAAGACAGCAATTAGAATTCAGTCCCCAGAAACCGGCACTTGACAAATCAGGGTTTTCACAAGTATCTACAGTGACAGTACTTCAGGCAATGCTGCAATCCAGTTTACTACATGCTGCAGTTTGTGTCCTAGTTTAAGAATAAAAATGAAACATTTGTAACTGAATCCAAAGTAAAAATATCCTGTTCCATCAATTTACTGTGCATCTTTTTTTTGTCATTCTCCTTTATTCAAACCCATTTTTTCTTCTGCTGCAGAGAAAATAAACGACACCTGTCAGCGTCAGGCTACATAATATAACCTCTCTGGGTGCTCCCCTCACTACGCCAAACTCTCTTCTATTTTCCAACAACAACAACGAAAACCCATTTTAAATGAAAAGGAAAAGATCAATATCACACATTTTCTTCACACATTGACAGTAGGATGTACTATGAGTTACTATATTCACCCATCTACTGTATATCATTTCTGTATATAACGTTTGTTTTGTATGTAGCATAAAGGGAATTTACAACTCTGATTATATAACCAATATAATAAAATAATAAACACATCTACCATGCACCTTGTATATCTGAAACACTGAAGCATGAGATTGGATGTCGGTAAACTGTCCATTAAAACACCACAATTTTATTTTCTATGTTTTAATGAATGATCATCTTACTATGGTTTGTGCTGATTTAATGAATATCCTTTAACAAACACAATACCTAGTGTATCTTTAATGTCAGCTGGGTCAGCCATGTGTGTAGCATGTATTTCAGTACAATTATACCTTGATTACATGAAATTAGACAGTTAGAACAACATGTAACTGGCTGTCTGCGTCCCATTGCAGATGAATGTATCAATAAAAAAAATTTACAAAATGGCAACAACAACAACCAGATGACGCATTAGTGTTAAATTTTTCTCAGCCATGCTATGAATGGACACAGTGGACACACACATTCTCAGGGCATCGTACAACAGAAATACCCACACTCTTGTTTCTGTACTGTGGTCTATTGTTGTCAAACTGCACTGGTGGCTTATGTAAGCCTCTATGCAGCAGGCCCGACACCAGCCACGTGCTTGGCTGTGTCATTCTAGCCCCAATGATAATATAAATACTCATCTCTCAGGGGTGCATTTCACAACCTGCTCACGGAAATAGGTCAGCAAGTGGCCAAGCAATTCCAGCCAATTAGAGTGCTAATGCAACAGGTTGTCAGGGCACTTATTAATGGTGTACATGATAACACTTTATCTTTAGGACTAAGCTCACAGGCTCAAGACTCCACAAACTTCTGTCAATTAAATATGGACCAGTTCAAGGGCTCTTGGACTGGGTTTAATCCAGCGAGAGAAGTCTGAATTGTTTTTTAATTTATTCTCAGTGTATTTTAAAAGATTGAAGTTAGCATCAGAGAGATAATAAAATGTGTTTTGCTTACCCAAAGAGATGCTGTGTTCACTGACAGCTTTGTTTTGCTCATGAGATGGCAAGGGGGCCTCAAGCTCTGTAAACAGCACATAAATTATGAGAAAGGCAGGATGCGTAAAACCGTATGAATTATTATTACTTTTAGAGTCATTTTTTTTTATTTAATATGTGGACAGTAGAGTTTAACCACAATGCAATGACTATATATATACATATAACAGCTGATGCATATTTGCAAGAAATATCGGAAACTATTTCATTGTTAAAGAAAAACATAACAACTTGTTTTCAATAATCATTCATATTGATTCCTATCAAAACACTACATATTCTATAGTATGGTATATAGTTAACTGGTTTGTATTTGAGTTTTGACAAAGACAAAGAAAAGCTAAGGATGTTTGTGCAACAATTCCATATAGTGGTGCTAATAGCAGAGTTTCAGGAGAGGGACCACAAATCAAGACGTCACTACTGGCATTTCCATAAATACCCACACATCCCATCTCATCTTCTTCGCTCTCGCATTCTGCACCCCTCCCGCCCACCCCTTTCTCTGTCTAGTCTCCTCATCTCCTTCTTCCTCTCCATAGGGTTATAGGGGGGTCCATCGTGCCCGGGTGCTACTGTGGATTTCCTTATCATAGCTTTCGAATGTCTATTCAGCAACTGCAAGCCTCGTACATGTTTCTGTTTTGTTCATCAGTAAATCATTTAATTGTATCTGTTTGTTGTGGTCCTTGCTAGTGAAACTGATGTTACGACAGCTGTAATTGTTCGTTCTGTCCATAGTTGCCGTAAAGAGATTCCTTTGTAAAGAGATTTCAGTGTAAGAGATGGGGGATGTGTAAGGATACTCAATGTGAGGCAAGAGCATTATGAATAAGTCAGATCAAGTGAATATGTTTTATTACTGTCCATCCATACTGTCCATTCAAATGCTTAAATTAGTAAATTAGCAAAATAGCAGATGAATGTTTTGGACAGTGTACTAATCAATGAATTGACTAATCTAACAACTCAAAACTATCCTTTAGGAGGCTTAATGTAACTGAACACTGGATCTACTGCCAACATCTGAATTCTTTTGACAAGTACCTGTTTTAAGACTGCCGTCCTTCTGTTGAACCCCATCATTGATTGTTTCTGTGACCCGTCCTACTTCCATGGTTTTGCTGTCCTCTGATACATAAACGTGATTTTCCATTGGCTCTTCTGATGACCCGCTTTTCTTTATTTTAACCTCTAAACATGTCTCTTCTAGTGCAGCCTTGAACTCCTCACAGGGGAAGTCATTAAGGTTGGTGACTGGTAGATCAGGAGCCACTGGACCACGTTTCTGGTCTTCAGGACTGGGTGCAGTTAAAACTTTCCCTGGTTTCTCAGTTAAAGATGTTTCTGCTGGGTCTCCAGCATCCTCACAGAACTTTTCTTGGTTAGACTTTTCGTTAGATATCTCCCGCACCTCCAAAGAGGAGGAGGTAGGGGGTAATACATGCTCCTCCACTGCTTCTTCCTCTGCAGACTCTTTGGGGCAGGATGTATACTTTTCCAGCTCAGGAAGGTCTGGCTCAATAATGGAATCATCCTCTCCCCCGACTTCATCTACAGTGACCAGTTCCTCCATGTTCTTGGGATACCAACACTCTTCATCAGTGTCATCTCCACTTTCCCTCTGCTTCACCTTAAAATGGATCAAGAAAAGAGATGTTAATATTCCAACAGGGGGGGTTGAATGTGTAATAAAGATCGTAATGCAAACTTACAGTGTCTCTCTCTTTACTACATTCAGTAGTTTCTTTTGGCTTATTGAGTTGCTGAGGTGACACAGATTTTTCTTTTGACTGGCGATCCTGGGAAAAGAGGTGACTTAGCTGTTAGAAGGATGTGTACACCAGATATACAACAATAATTTACAAAAATGACTCACCATGTTTTCAGTAGCATTTTCTCTCTCCTGTTTTTCCACAGTGGTGTGCCTCCTGCTTATCTTTTTGCTCCTGCCCCTGTCTGGTGAACTCTGCCTCTTGTCTTCTAGTGTTCTGCGAAGTGGCTCCTCAGTCATATCAAACTCAGAATGCCTCGATCTGCTGTGGTGGTCACCACCATCCCTCCGCTTTGGCTTTGTGTCATGCCTTTGGTATGGAGGTCTGGGCAGCTTGTCTGACTTGTACATTTGTTCCTTCATGTAGAAATCGTCCTCTATGTTCCTGTAAGCGTTGAAGGACACACCTTGAGGGCTGCCTCGTGGGTGCCAGTCTCTGTTTCCCCTCATCCCTTCACCACCTCCTCCTCCTCGCTGCTCATCTGCAGATCTCAAGCTGATATGATCCAAGGGTTTCTGGTAAGCCTTCCGACGGTCGGCTGCGCGTCCATTAGCCCGATCGTCATCTATGCTGCCCCCGTTCCTCCATGTGTCATCCCTCTCCCTTTCATCCTCACCCCTTCTTAAGTGTGATGACCAATCCCAAGAGTCCCGGCAGGAGCCCAGGCCATTACTGCCTCTCTCCGGACCCCTGCATTGTGGCCCCTGGGGACTGTGGGCTGAGCTGCATGATGTAAAACTCGGGCTGTGTGAGTGAGGACTCAAAGAGCGGCTGATAGGGCTGCGGGAGCGTGCTCTCTCTGGCATGTATCTGGAGGAAGATTATGATGATATGTAGATTTAATGGAGAAATCTTCTGAAGCTGAACTTTGTGTTCAGAACTATAACACTTATTCAACTTAAGCAATAATCATCAGTGACATTTACACCTCCCTGAATTTGCATTTTTCATCCCTCAATAATTGACTAAAGGAACATTTGAGACTGAAAGGAGAAAGGAAAGTTGCCTTACTGCTCAAGTTCTTGCATCTCATCCCTCTCCCGCTGACAGCTGATATCCTGGATGATTGATTGAACATCCTTACCCGGTTTCTATACAGAGAAGAAATTCAAGTTTACCAACTGGCTAACACAGCGTTTGACCTGCTGCTTAATTTGTTCTTCAGTCTTACCTTGAGTTGCAGCTCCTTGTACCTCTTAGACATTCGTATGAGAAGTTTCTGAGTGTTAATCATAGCAGGAGTAAGTTGGTAGTATTGAACCATGGCCTGAGCTGCTTCAACATACGCCATCTCCAGAAATGCCTTTTGGGAGAACAGAAAATTACCCTCTGACGGTTATATAGTTTTCTTGCTGGACATCTACAAAAACATATTTCACATCTCAGATTTCAGATTGGATGCGAGCAAATCTTTGAAAATCATTATCACAAGGTCTCACATTTCACTACCATAATAAATCACCAGAACAGTTGATTTAGTTCCTGTAACCAATACTACGATTTAGCAAGAATGCTTTAAATTTGATAGGAGTGATATTAACATTGGAGTTCAATTCTGACAACTGAAACCTGGGAAACTGAGTGAGCTGTTATGTACGGGTAGTTAAAGAGTCAGTAAGTTATAACAAAGTACCTGATATCATATAACAGCTGACGCAGAAAAAGACTGTTGATAATCATAAAAAGGCACATGGATAATTGGCTGATTTGCATTTTGTCAAATGTCTTCGAGGCAAAAATATTCACAGTATCAACGTCTTTTAGGGAACTCATCAGGACAGAAATCATGCACTGGGAGTAGGACATACTTGTACTTGTACTTTGAAAGCACATGCACAATGCCAAAATAAAGAAGTGACTGGGACCCTGCTTGCTATATGGTGCTTATTTTAAAATTGGTTGTTACTCTTTATGTAATATGTTAAAGTCAAAATGAGTCAAAATGAAGATATTAATTGATAAACATGAATAACAAATAACTGATACATAATTAATGCTATTGCACCTGATGGGTAGAGCGCATGAGGATGTAGTTGGTGACTTTGCCAAAAGGTAGTCCCAGGTTGATGACATCATTCTCTGTGCAGCTGCCTTCAGGGAGGTTGCAGATGTGAACGACACGCCCTGCTGTGGCTTTTCTGGGTGGAAATGGCTGCAAATAATAACCAAAAAAACAATATTCTTTAGCAAACATGAATAAAGTTTTATTCATTCTACATGGGTAAATATGCAAGATATAACATGTAACTACATCAGTTAAGGAGCTTTCAAAGTTTTGACAAAGCATGGCTAGCAGTGATTGTGTTCAGCTAGGGGTCACTCTCGACTGGATACAGTGATATTTATGTTCTCATAAATCCTGTCTAACTGTGTGGTGCTTCACAGCCATAAAGAATACTTCCACTGTGATATTTTTTAATAAGCCTGTAGCCTGTCTAACATCAGTGTAACACTATCACACAGGATGTCTATTAATAGTTCCCTGTACAGCAGTGGTAATCAAAGTTTTCTTGTTTGGATTTAGAGACTTGTCAACTGACTGGCCCCAAACATTTGACACATTCGACACAAGTACCTCAGGCATAAACAAGTACCTCAGTATAATGACCTGCGTCGGTCAACATACCTTTGTCCTTCCCCCTTTATTAACTTCAAGGACTGGGTAAGTGATCGGTATCACTATTTGCTTTATTATTATTATTTACCTTTTTTAAAGGCAGATTATGTTAACAGTTTTTAGTGTCCTTTTCTTTGTTTTTCAGATTTCTCATTATTGTTCTTCCATTCTTTTTCCCAGCTCAAATATTTTGCACACCCCTTTTTTCCAATTCCTTGCATAACTAGTTATCCTCAGATCTCTGTCTTTATCTCAATCTTTCACTCTTTTGACTCACAACAACCAAGAGTTAAGAAAAGAGACATGCTAAGAAAGTAACAAAGAAAATCTAAAGAATCAACTCCACCATAGAAGGGTCTGTTTTATTTCCAACATGTCTTATCTGTTTTATTATTATTATTTTATGTTGTATTATTGTTAAGTATTTTATTCCATTTTTGTTTTTGTATTATTCTAGTTGTCTCACTGCAGCAGAAATGGTATGATGCTGGTCCAACCATGTAAAGCACTTTGTTTTAAAAAGTGCTGTACACTGAAAAAAGGGAGACTGGTCACCTGCTAGATTTATTAAATTATATTTAGTATATTTTACTAAAGGGTTTTATGTTCTTAAGTAAAACGTGATACCATTGTGAAAGGTGTAAACAAAAGGTGTTTAAAATGTTTCTTAGTAGTTCATCTTAAACAAGAAAGAAGAGCTTAACTTGAATAGCTCATGATTTCTTGTCTAGATTTTAATTATTTCATGGTAACATGGATTTATGTTGTTGCTCTTTGTTGTTGCAGATGGACACTAAACTCACACTCTGGAGGCAGCTCTTTCACAGAGGGCTCACGTTTTTGTGGTGAGTAATGTTTATATTTTTTGCCACACTATTGACAGGGCAGGGATCTGCAGTAGGCTATTCAGTGTTCTTCTCTTTCTCTCTGCCAAATATACGTTGGCAACCATTAATAAGTCGGTGTTGAGAACTTCCATGTAGCTGGCCACAAGTTTTAGCGTTTGTGTGCATGTCCCTGTATTAATGTTTCAGATAAATGCAGAGTTTAAACAGATTACCTCTGTGCCTCTACAGTCAAGGTTCCTCTCACAGTTGGACCCATCCACTGCCTATATGCTGAAGGTGTTTGAGAAGAGATTGGGGCAGCAGGGAAAGAAGCTGAAAGACATGTCTGCCATGGTGACGGTAAGAATTCTAACTATTTAACTTTCAGTTGTTTTTTTTTCCTATGTTGGCATTAGGTTGGCAGAGGTAGGCAGAGTAGCCAAAATCTGTACTCAAGTAAATGTGGTCGTGAAAATAACTATTTGAGTTAAGCTTAATTTATACTTCTGCATCGAGTTAAATAACAAAAAACACTAGGGACTAATACTAAATTAATATTATAGTCCTTAGTAAGCCAGTAAATATTAATAACAAAATGGTGTAATTGTCTCCTATACTTTATGAATAGGCAAACAAATCAAACAAACCTATGTATTATGTTCATTGCTAGTCAATTGATGATGAAATGTATTTACCTTTGCATTCAAATATAACAGCCATGTGTAACTTGGAATAGCTTTATGTTAAAATACAGCCATGTGTTTTGTTTTATTCTTTAAGGATGACATTGATGCTGGATGGGAATGTGACATCAAAGGACTCTGCATCTACCTCAACGAGGATCCTTATCATCTTGTTACAGGAGTATGTGGTGAGTGTATATAGAAGTAATAGTGTTATAGTGTGACATTGTTAGGTGCCGATCAGACAGTACTGCCCTTTTTGTTGAAGCCTACTATAGAAAAAAAAAGAAGAGCAATATACTGCTCTTGTTGTTTGCTTTCCATCCACAGAATTAGCTGTCCTTAGTTTAACTGTAATTTTGCTGTTTAGTGAACTTGCAGATCTCCAAAAACATCTACATAAAAATAAATGGATGGGCAGAGAGAACTTGCTCTGCATAAAAATTCTGCTTTTAAACGCTATACAATTCTTTGTGGGGTTCATCAATAGTGATAAATGATCAGTATATCTCTTATGAACGTTAAGAATCGTTAATATATTATTACACTTAGTAAAAGTACCATTCCCGGAATTTCAGCAAAAACGTGGCGTTAACCGAGTTTAAACAATGTGAACAGCAAAGTGTTGAAAAGGACCTTATTAAGTGAATGCATAATTTGGCAAAACAGATGTTGTAGGCTAGCCTACCTGCTGAGATTTGCATCCACCACTTTTCTAAACATAAAAGAGCGTTATCTCCCCCGGTTGTTTGCAATTCACGGCAGGCATGCAGAATTCGGCACAACACCTGCACTGCAAAACGTCTCTACATTAAGGCCTCGTGGGAGCAAAGTCTGATCATTGTTCTAAGCTCACAGTAAGCTCACACAGTCCGGGCGCAGTCTCCCCGCCCCTGCAGTCACCTGCAGCTCACGTTAGACTATGAAGTCGGCGAAAGTCAGCCAGTTATCTCGAACATACCTATTGAAAAGTTATACAGCGTGGTAACTTCGACAGTTATTTTCCAAATTTAACATAACTATCCTAATAAGCTAGACTCATTACATGCTTGCTAACAACCGCTTTGAAGATGGGTCTCCGACATTGACAGCGTTGCTTTAGACAGATATGTGCAGCGGTGTTTATGATACCAACCATTCAATTCACAGACGAGTCCGTTGTCCGTGTTTGCCAGAGAGCGAGAGCGCGTGTGAGAGGATGTGCGGAGCGAACATGCGCTGCGCAGCGCTGCAATCAAAAACAATTTTAAAATGGGTCGCCAAATTTACTTGGGCAAGTAAATTCTATGTGTGGGGATCACTGAATCTATCAAATACGTATACCTGTAGCTCCTGAAATTACTGCCTGGTTAAGTCTATGCATGTCTGAACATAGTGGCTTATAATGCAAGCTGTCTCTACCAGCGTTAAAACATGTATGATGAAACGCAGATGTTTAGGCTATTGGATGTGAGGCAACGCATAAATTATACAGTTTTATTAATTATACAGTCCTTGCTGAAAGTATCAGTGATTACCCCATTAGAATATATTTTTAAACTACTCCTTCTCAGTGCTGTATTTTTAAGCACAAAAGTAATATTGGAAGTAACTTTGTAGTTTAAAAGATGCCCTATGTCCTAATGAGGTCTGAGTTTAAATAATTGTGTCCTTTCTTTTCACCAGGAAATGTCTGAGACCCATTTCTTCAGTGCTGTGGAGATGACTGCGGGAGGATCTTTGTTGTGAAAGACACTGTCAACAGCGAGCCCTCTGCATCGGAATAGTCATTGAGGGTGGTGTGGTGGCACTTTGAGATCTTGAGAATGTAGCCACTGCGTCTGCAATGTTGTTTGGACTCTTTCATGCTTTAAACATGCAATACCCTACAAAGCTCCGCTACCCTTTTGACGTAATTCAAAAGATCATCGTGGAGCTAGATGCAGGGGAACTGTCAAGAAAGCTTGAAAACTAAGCTCCACCAGTGAAGAGAGCTAATTGTTCTTGGCTCTTGGTTGGATTAGGACATGACTGTTGGCAAACTAATAGTCTCTACCTCTACATGCTTGGACTGAGTGGTGTTGCAGCCTGATTTTGCTATCACCAATTAAGTGTTATTCAAGATGTACAGTTTTGATTACTGTACAGTACCAGGCACATTTAAATTTAACCATTGCATTTTAATGTGCTAATATATAATGCATTGTTCAAAAACCTTGAGCTTCCCATAGGACATTTAATGTGTATTTTTATTTATTTTTATTGATGCAGATGTATTTTGGAAAAGCTCTGGCATTTTTGGCCAAACTAAGCTACATCTAGAAAGAGAGCTCATTACAGGTGCTGGTCATATAATTAGAATATCATCAAAAAGTTGATTTATTTCAGTAATTCCATTCAAAAAGTTTATAATGTATACATTCATTCCACAAAGACTGATATATTTCAAGTGTTCATTCCTTTTAATTTTGATGATTACAACTGACAACTAATGAAAACCCCAGAATCAGTATCTCAGAAAATAAGAGTATTGTGAAAAGGTTATTATTAATTACTAAATTAATAATATTGAAGACACCTGGTGTCACACTCCAGTCAGCTAATTAACTCAAAACACCTGCAAAGGCCTTTAAATGGTCTCTCAGTCTAGTTCTGTAGGCTACACAATCATGGGGAAGACTGCTGACTTGACAGCTGTCCAAAAGACGACCATTTACACCTTGCACATGGAGGGCAAGACACTAAAGGTCATTGCTAAAGACGCTGTCTGTTCATAGTATGGAGGACTGATCCTGAAAAATTCAGAAATAAATACAGAAATAAATAAGTGCTCAATAAATAAATAAGCATCCAATTAAATGCGCAAAAAAATAAAGACAAATTTATTGTCCGTTGTAATCTTCAACTTTATTTATTAATTACTTATTTTTTAAATGTATTTATTTATGTGTGTGTTTTAATATTTTTGTCTGTTTTATTCTTCCGTTGCATTTTCTACCCTATTTATTTTCACCCATGGTATTTATTTCTGCCTGTCCTTTTTACATTTCTGCCTCATTATGCAAATGAGGAGGGGCTGCGTCTCAAGGGGTGAACTTCTCCCCTATTGGTGGACCAGTCAGATGGGAGAGCTCTAGGCCTACTCTGCCTGCACACATCAACGAGCTTGCTCCCCACACAGTCAGATGGCTTCTTTCAGTGCGCTGAGGTGTTTAGCAACTCTGTTTGAAGACACTACCAGCCATGTCTTCCTTCTTTTCATGTGGACACTCTGACCTACAAAGTTTTCAATTAGCGACTTATACGGACACAGAACTGCAGTAAAGTGAGCTGTTGTTTCTGAGAGCTACATCAGTTAGCCGCAGCTAAATCTGGAGTGCGCTCCTATTCGAGTATTTACGGTAAATGCTCCCACACGGAGCAGCTCGTTGCTCTGGTGTTATCAGCTGCTGTTTCAACAAAAACGCCATTCAGGGTGAAAATTGAACCGTGGTGTTGTGTCGGGAGACGCAGTGACATAACCAGCGGTGAGTAAGAAATATTATGAATAATACATGTGATCTGTTAAGCTATGAGGAGGGTAAAAGTCCGCTAGGCTAATTTATGTAGTGCTAATATCATATAGGTGTAGTGAACAACGATGTGGATTTGTGCATTTCATATTGAATGAATGTGGAGCTACCCTAAATTCCTTTCTCCTCCCCAGAGAAGATGGGGAGGGGTCAAAGTTGCTTTCTCTAAGTGCTAGCCCGACCATAAAACTGGCACCATTTTGATTCCGAAGCTGATAACGCGGGGCCTGACTGTTAAACTGACAAAGGGACACGAGCCAGCCATTGGCATCTCCCTGAACAGCCTATCAAAACTTACCCCACCACACACGTTTCCGTGGAAACTGACCTTATTCTTTGTTTTATTACCACATCAAAAGGATACTCCTTGTCTCACCTAAGTGTGACATGTTCCAGACACTGAACTTTGGATGACAAAGGACTGCATTCTCCAAAAGACTCAAAGCATCTAATTAAATTTAATTAAATCTTTAGTTACCTGAATATGTTTGCCTCTATTTGAGTAGTTATGTTAACTGTTGTTGCTATCTGTTGTTGATATTAGTGCTGAAAAGAAGTTACTTGTGCAATGTTTTTTTTTCAGCAAGACACTCCTTCATCTAATGTAATCAATGCTTGTTCATAATACTTTTTACAAAATCCCTTTAGAAATGATAACAAATGTTTTACTATACTCTTAATCGCCAGCTTGAATTTAAGGATGAATCAACAAATTCCCCGGTTCCTAAGGAGAGACGATCTTTGATTTAATCCAAGCTTTCCTCATGTAACCTGAGCTCCCCCAAGTGGACGAAATAAGTATTACATGCCCTCATCGGAAATGCGGTTAAATGTGTAAAAATACTGACCAATAATGTGACAATTGTTTCCTGTTACCAAACGCCTAGAACGGTACAACCGTTCAACCATTGAGGTTCGATTGTGGAAAATATTTGATTATAATACGTGCAAATAGATTTCTTTTCTTTAGACATTAAGTTTAGAAAGGCAGTTCCTGGGGAAACCTGAGACGCCCCCTGGGGAACCACGCCCCAGGCAACAAAAGAGCGACACGCGACCTGCTCTAGTCTCTTCTCTCTAGACTCTTAGACTCTTCCCTCTTCTTGCTCTTCCACTCTGGCCCCTGGATGCTTCGGCACGCGCGTGGCGTGCCTCGCCAGACAACACGCCCAGACTCAGCCAGCGAAACAAACAGGCCTTTGTTCGCCTGAAGCTACACACCTGAAGTGCCGAGACATCGATCTGCCTTCAGTTTGTTTTATTTTCTTTATTTCTTTTGTTTGTTAAAGTTATGAGTCCGTTAAGTTACACTGGACTAATTCAGGAACGACCAAGTTCCATTTTAAGCCTTTTTCGTCGAGCCAACTTCACCGAGGTCAGACCAAGCCACGTGGTCTCGCCAGCTACAACCAAGGAAACCTGCAAACAGCCGAATTGCCAGACGGAGGAGGCGTTTTCAATCAGACACGGAGAACCCCGGACAATCCCTAGCAAAAAGCCAGGATCGGCAGCTAGAGTGGGACCCGTGCAACAGGCCAAAAGCAGGCTGTCGACAAGCAGTAAGACTTAACACACGTCCTGTGATCAGATGTCCATTTTAACTCCTAAACTATAGCATTAGTTTACTTTCAGTAGCTCTTCTATGCCGTATGAGTCAAATGCTTCCCACAATCGAACCTCCAGGCTCATTGTTCAGCAAATGTTTGTTCCCTGTATCCAACCATCTTTTATCACCTTAGTTAGAGAATAAATTCACTGTAATATAATCAAGAGCTGTGTGTGTTGCCTATTTGTAGTTCCTGCCAAGAGAATTGACCCTTTAGATATGAGACTGACTGACTGATTTAAGATAATTGAGCGATTATTAACTAACTGATCACTAGTAATAATTGTATAATTATTCAAAACTACCTAGAGGTCCGGAGACTCTAGGATTATAACAACTCCGGTGGTGCCCTTTACGAGGAAATTCTGATTTTATGAATAATAATTCATAATTGGGTATCAATTCTCATAAATTTATTAAAATGCATAACTAATAAATTTAGGTCCACTACATAATGGTGCCTTCCGTGTGAGGCCTTGTGACATACTATAATAATAGACTATACACACAGCCCTGATGCAGAGAAGTTATTGAGAAAAGTTATTGAGGAAAATTTTGCCACTGAAATAATTATCGCCCAGTAAGTCGCTCCATAGAAACTCTCCTGTCTTCCCTCTTAACTTAACGTTAGTGAGGAAAGTGTGTGTGAGTTTTGACCATGTTCTTTGTTGTGAAATGAAATGCTTTGTGCAACCTGTTTGGCCGCTGGCCATCATTCTTTGTTGTTCAGTACAGAGCTGTAGTGAGCTGAGCTATGAGGACCGAGCTAATGTTAAACTGAATGCATTCCTGTAACGTTGCCATATGAGAAATCTGAGCTAAAGCTACATACAATCTCCGCTGACGAGTGGATGAAATGCCCTTTTGGTTGAGAGAAACTTAACCGATATTGATCATTTTAAGGCCAATAAGAGGCAGACAGATTACAGTTGCGCTGTGCCAATGTGATTTGTTTGCGGCTATAAATAACAGTCTGACGCGCTGAGCCGTGGATTGTTATGTTATATGCAAAACTCCGGTATCCTGTTGAAATTAGCTACTTCAACAAATACAGCTGCCCGGCAGTGGAGTCACAGGCGTGAAGACGCCGAGTTTAGCCTGTAGCGTTGTACCTACCGAGCTAAGTTAACGCTAAATCGAAGCTTGAAAGCAAGCTGAGTCATTGAAACAAAGGAGCGAGTCCTTCCCCCATTTTGAGCGGGACTGGTGTCCGTCAGTGTTCTGATTTACTGCCGTTGCTGCAACGACGGTTTGCTAACTGCGTTAGCCTGAAGCTAACAGCTGTTGGGTCCGAGGACCAGAGAGGAAGCCGCTTCTTCTTCTACATTGAGAAATAGGCCGCGCCCGAGGCGGAGCCACAGCTCCCCTACTGGCTGGCGGAATAAATTGCATGCTCTGCATTAAATCGACTTCAGCGTCATCAGTGACAGAGATGAGCGTTTGAATCGAGTGAATTAAACCAGACTTTGGTGATAGATCTTGTTAACTTGAGACACATAAACCATTGTGTCGACTCTCAGATTAAATTAATAAGGAGTGTTACTCCTTAAGTGTAGGATAGAGCACAGGCTCTCCTTTTTCCTTGAATAACTTTTAAAGATCTATTGGGTGTTTGCTTGTAACAAGGTACTGAGCCAATTTAGTACCCTAACCTAGGATTACACTGAGTAAGTCTGTTAATTTTGATGCAATCTTTTATTCAAAGATTCGCTTTTCTAATTTTGATCTAGCTGTATTTGAATGAAACACTTTATTCTCATTACTGCTGCAATATCCCTGATTTTAACTTTGTCATTTTGAAGCCTTTTTCTGTAGTGCTATTTTTGATCCTTGCAGGAATAAGATAAATACAGAATAACATCTTGATTTGAATTTTGTTAACCTTTGTTGTTTGGACTGATTGGAATTCTGAAACCACATTAAGCTTGATAAGTTGAATTGATAGCTTTCCAACTAGGCTTTCTTTAATCCTTGTTCATTATAAATGTAATTTGGACTCTGACTTTTATAGCAATTGGAATTTTGATAACTTGATAATTACCAAAGGGTAATTAAAAACCTTCAGTTTACTCAGCTTTGTTTTGTTAATGTAACTTTGAACTTTGCGTTTATTCTCATTGCCTTTGAACTTTGATTTTAGAAATTAATTTTAATCTCAAATTTTAATTTTTCCAATTTTGAACTCTGATTCTAAAATTTAATTTTTCAAACAATTTTTC